GGCTGATGGCTCCTTCTGGAACCCCCTCCCTCGAGGGCCCTGGCAGCACAGCCCCTCTCCATTCTCCTGTCCTCCTCCTTGGTCCATGGGTTCTCCTGACCTGGGCCTCTGCCAGAGGGATTGAGAGGCTGCTATCCTGGTCCCTGCAGCTTCCAAATGCCACTCCCTGCTCTTCCTGCCTCTGTCCACCCCTGGACCCCCTTTGCTAGCCTGAACAGGGAGCACCTAAGGCAGGAAGTCTGGGGCCGCCCTCCATTGGCGGCAGGGCTCGGGAATCCCAGCCTTGACTGTGCTGCTCCACGCTGGTCTCAGCCACTGTTTCTAGTTCCTCCTCACCCGAGAGGATGCTGTAACTCACCCAGGTCACTACCAAGGGGCAGAGCAAGCACTTGACCTGGACCATGGATGTCCTTCCTCGGGGAGGGCACAGGTGGGAAGGGGCCTGGCAAGGACAGGATGGAGTTTCCAGAGAAAGAACCCAGTGCATTTGGTCTTTGGAGAATGATGGGATTTTGTGCCTTTAAGAGTCCAAGCATCAGACACCGAAAAGTTTCCCTGTGGTTTTCAGTAGGGAAAAGGCTCCTGGCCACGAACTGCTGCTGCCTCCTCTTCTGCCTGGGGCTGTCTGGGCAGCAGCTTTCTCACCTGGGACCCATGTGGTGATGGGAGCTGTCACAGCCTCTCCTGCCACATCTGCCTTGCCTCCTCTCTGCCCGCCGCTGCCCACACACTGTCTGCTGCTTATTTCAGCCTCACACGGGAAGTACCCAGGGAGCCCACAGTGTGCTGTAAGGCTCTGGCCTCCAACTCCGAAGGATCAGGGTCTCCATTCTGCCCACCATCTCTCCCTTGAGCCTGGCTTCACTCCCAGATGTCTTTTCAGAGTCCTAGTTGCTTGGAGAGTGGTTGTGGGTCTGTGCTCCCCACTCTCACCTGGCCCTGGCCAAACAGCGGCTGCCCTGCCCTGCCCTGACTGCCCCATTTGAGAGCCAAGTCCTGCTAAGGATGCAGCGTCAAGGTCAGCGCTGTGCTGTAGTCAGTAAAATTACCACTTGCAAAGCAAGCATCCAGTTTGTATCCCAGCTGCTCCTCTTCTGATACAGCTTCCTGCTAATGGCTTGGGGGAAAGCAGAAATTGGCCCAAATGTTTTAGGGCTCTGACACCCACATTACAGACCCAACTGAAGCTCTTAGCTCCTGGCTTGGAACTGGCCCAGACCTGACTGTTGTAGCCACATGGGGGCAGTGAAACGGCAGATGGAAGATCTCTCTCTCTCTCTCTCTTCCCCACCTCCCTCTCTTTCTGTTTCTTCACCTCTCTGTATAATCTGAATTTCAAATAAAACAAATAAGTCTTTTTTTAAAAGAAAAAAGATGCAGTGATAACCAAGGGAACAGCCAATCCAGGACTCAAAATTCTCAGGTGATCACTGAGCCCTCTGACTCCACTCTGGGAGGTAGCAGAGGCAATGGGGCTGCAAGGCTTACAGACCCAGGTTCAAATCCCGGTATGGGTATCTACATTGATTATATGGAATGAGGTACTTTGTGGCCCTGAAGAATGAAGCCTCTTGGTGACGGGAACATGACCTTGGGACCTACCTCCCAGGGTTGGGTGAGGAACAAGGCTGCCCACATCTGAGGAAGCCGGAGAGCAGTGCTGGCCTCATGCCATTTCACAATGCCACTGACCCTTGACCCTGATGAAGCTCATGTTCCAGGAGAGGCAGATGGGCAGGCAGACAATCACACCCCCACATGGCATGATTGCTGCCAACGTGAGAAACAAATGGGAGCAGAAGTGCTACAAGATTCGACAGTGCCCCATGGCCTGGCACAGCGATGTGCAATCTGAGAACCAGGTCTGTTACCTCCCCTGCAGCCTGAAGCCCCTCTCTGTCAGGTCCCAGTGGGACTCTAGAGGACTGCCCAGGGACCAGCATCACTCGCCATCTCCTATACCCATGGCTGTAAGTGCCAGGCTTCCCTGAGACAATGCTCCTGACCCAGCTCATGGGAGATAATGTGGCCAGCCAAGAAGCCAAGAGCTTGGAGTACAGGGTGCAATACTGAAAGAGCCACGACACTCCCCAAGGGTGTGATGCAGAGGGAAAATGTGCCCTTGAAGCTGGCACCCCAGGATCTTACTGCTGCCCCTCCCCTCACCCCACTACCACTCCCAACCCCAGCTCTGGCCCTTGTCCAACAGGTTGTTCTGCCACGTCCAGTCCAGCATGGATGATGTTGAGAAAATGACCCTCGCATGGGCCCTGCTTGGAGAACACCCCAGTTCCAGAGCACTTCAAGCCTAGTATGTTCTTCCTGCACATACTCATACCTTCCTTTATCACAGAGGCTTCCCAAGCCTGGGACCCAGGGCAGCACCTCCCCAGAACTGCTTGCTGCGTTACACCACCTGTGAAGTTCCCGCTGTGACTTGTATCAGAACCTCGAAGGCCTATATCACCATGTGATGGCTGTAATTCAGTTGATTGTGGGTTCCTCGGTCAGGACACGGGTTCCAGGAGGGTAGGGACATGTCTGTTGTCACTGCTGTATCTCCAATGACTGGTACTCCGTCTCACACAGATCTCTGCAGGAGTAGACAGGAAGAATGAAGAGAGGAAAGTTCTGGGAAGTCCTTGGGCAGGGGGTGGGGGCAGGCCTAATGGCACATCACTCGGTATCTCTCAGAACTGTTTGAAGATAGCAAGGGGCTGCCCTTAGCTCCCGACTCTCTCTGTGTTCTGGGATAGATGGTCTTGTCCTAAGCTGTCACAAACAGCCCCTCACACCCTTGCCCTCTAACTCACTTCTTCCCGAGTCCCCTTTTCACCTATGCCATGGGCTGTTCACCTGTCCTTGCCTGCTCTGTTTACTGCTCCCGTGGAGGTCCAACAATGACCTCCCTCCACCCCGCTCGCCTCACCTGCACACGCCATCTGCACCTACCTTAGAAGGCTGATGGCAGGGGGCCTGCCTCGGGTCCCATGCTCCCTCGCCATCTGCACCCTCCTTAGGCAGCTGGAAGATGTATGTATCGGATAGCAGGAGGGCTGCCTCAGGTCCCATGCTCTCAACCATCTGCACTGAGCAGTCTCACCTCCAGGGCACCTCTCAGAGGTGAGAGTTGGGGGCAGTCAATAGTCAGCCCATGGTCCTACGCTGTACAAGACAGGAAGCAGGTTCTGGGCTCCTGCCATGGTCCTCCCAGCCACACTGAAGCAGGGTGCAGACATGCATCTTTTCTCCAGCACCTTCCCTCACCTTGTGTGTCACTCATCAAGAGGCTATAATCGCTTGGCGGTAATCACAGAGCCGGGTCGGGGACTGAGTATGTGACCTTGGCAGGTGACATTGTCTTGCTCTTCCTGCAGGAAGTAGGAAGCCTGCACCTTCCCTCCCCTAGGGTTGTGGGGGTGATGGGGTGAGTGTGGAGTGAATGTGTGTCAAACAAGCTATTGGCTCAGAATAGGGCTCTGCGCCTGCAGGCCATTGCCACTGTCTCACTCGTGGACTGGCATGCCGTGGGGTCCCTCAAGCAGTGGACGGTGGGGCAGGGGTTGTCATTTGGCCTGTTTTGGCTTTGGGGTGATCCGAGCTATCCCCTCACATCCCTCTGCCTTCCTCCCACCTCCGTGTGTGACCTCACGAGTCATAGTGTGCATTGCTGCAGGTACGTGAGTCACATCTGCTGCCCAGCTCCTGGCTCAGGGCTCACCCGCAGCAGGTGGAATGGTGCAGAGAGAAGGAACCCAGGATTGGCCCTTTGGGCTCTGGGGTCCGCTGTGAGCCTGGTCCCCGTTCCAGGCCACAGTGGGCTCTCTCTGCACCTTACCTCTCACCCTGGAGATGAGGCCCGGAGCAGGCAGGTCCGGTCTGCCTCCAGCTTCCCCATTGATCCTGTGGAAGTCAATGCTTGTTTGTTCCTTCCTGGAGTGTTGTAGCCATTAAGTTCCAGGCAGGGGTCAGGCCCCTGGGCTCGATCTGCTCAGGTTGCCTGCACAATTGAAATCCCCGAACCCATCCTGGCTAGTTTTCTCATTAAGACGATTGGTCTTGATTGATCCATTAGATCAATAGGCGGACATCAGGCAGCGGGAAACCAGTCTGAGGAGCCCAGATGAATGGGCAAGAATGAGGTCCCCACAGTGCTGGAGTGGGCATCTTCTGGGATAGGGCCAGGGGCAAGTGGAGGCAGGGGTGTGGGCTTGGCAGGCTGGACTGGGGTATGGGAAGTGCCAGGCTAACAGTGGGCCTCCTGTCCCATGTCCCCTGGGTGGGCACTTCCAAGAGGGTGCTGGGGTTGGGATCTAGTGGTTACAGGGGTCTGGTGCCCGCAATCACTTCCCCACCCATCACCACCACCACCGTGGCCAAGGGCCTCCCTGTCCCATCCCACTCCTTGCTTTGGTGACTGGGCATGTGTGGAGGGAAAGAAGAGTGACAAGGATGCCAGCAGTGGCTTCCCAGGGCTTTCTTGCCATTGCATTGGGAGTGATTTGATTATGAACCTGGGACCATGGGCTCCCTTGGGCATGAAGCAGGTGGGAGGGGCTAAGTACCCACAGTCAGAGAGGTTTGAAAACACTGGGCCCAGGTGTTTCAGGATGCTGCCTGCAGGACCTAAGAGATCCATCAGGGCCCCCTACAACTCTTTGAAGGGGGGAGGGGGAGGGGCTGGACCTCCAGAGCCCACCTCCTGTGCATGGAGTAGGAATGCCCTCCTGAGCCACTTGCTACCGAGACCAGCATGTCCTGTGTACAGGGAAATATGTGGCCCATGAAACAACAACTTTTCATCTCGGAGGGTTCCACTGGAACCAGGGAGGTGACAGAGGTCATGAGAAGAGGGTGACCAGATCCAGGCAGGCCCTGGTCATCCTTCGTGAAGACCACAGTGGGACCCAGGCACCGCACACCCCGCCTGACAGCTGAGCGGCGGCAGCCTTGGCCCTCCAGGCAACATGTGTACTCACACCTTTCTTCTTCCCCTCTAGGCTACCTGACTGTCAACATCGAGCCTCTCCCCCCAGTGGTGGCCGGGGACGCCGTGACCTTGAAGTGTAACTTCAAGACCGATGGCCGCATGCGCGAGATCGTGTGGTACCGGGTAAGTCGCTGCTGCTGCCGCTTCCGGTCCTGTGCCCAGGTCTCTGCTCAGCTCTGTGTCTCAGCTGGGAAACAGCCCCGGACAGTGCAGAAACAAAAGGCACTTCACCGGTAGACAATGAAATATGAATTTCATGTAGCATTCATGAGCTACCCAATCTTGGTGTTTTACTTTCGATCGTTCCAGAAAGTACAAACCAGTCTTAGCTCACACTCTTCACCCTTCAGGGGAAGGTTGAAAGCTAACCTGGTTCACGGGTTTGCGACCCCTGATACAAAAATCACACTTTGTTGATCTTTGTTAGCTGCGTTGCCCTTCATTTAAATGAAATCGATAAGTAAGGCAGTCAAGAGGAACCTCTCTGGATGCAGCAGATGGGGCATGGAGGGGAGGAGGAATGGAAGGAGTGGAGGGCATGGGTGGGCACAGGCTGGTGGTCTCGGATCTAGAACTGGTTCCCAGCTCCTTGAGGTTTCACCAGCTCTACCCACAGTACTGGGAGACCAGTGTTTGAGCGACCCCCAGCACCTGTACGCTCCTGACCCTGACTCATAACAACTGCTCTCCTTGGCCTCCTTGCCTTTGGTCCAATCTCGCTCCGTACCCACCTGTCTGTTACTGCTCCCTGCTGCTTCACTCTGGGGTGCAGCATTTGCTGATTGGTGCTGTTTTATTGGCTGTGATATGTGTTCCTTCTCACTGAAATTGTGCTTCTCCGTCTGAGCATTGGAGTCCCACCTGCTCAGAAGCAACCCAGGCTCGCCAGGTAGCTCAGCCTGCACAGGTGCGAAGCCAGCATCGGGGAACCGGCATCCCGCAGGGTCCTGGCTTTAGAGGCTGCATCCATGCCTGACAGATCTGTGGGTTTAGACAAAGTCAAGGGCTGTGCTAAACAGGACTACGAACTGGATCCCTAAGAGGCATGTTTACAGGATGTGGGCATGGCTCGGCTGGCACAAGCTGTGAGTGTCTCATTAGCCCCATCTCCCTGCTGAAGGAGTGCCCACCTCTCTCCTTCCACTGCCCTGCAAGTGAGAGCACAAGGGAACAGCTGACACAAACACACAGCCCCAGTGGGAACAGTTCGCAGGCATAGACAGCATGGAGCTTGGCCCGAGAAGGGCTGCCAAGGCCTCGAAGCAGCTGTCCCCACCCTGGCTCGCATTCTCACTTTGCGGTGATGGAAGTCTTCGTGCAGAGAGCTGCCAGAGGTGGGGCAAAACCGGAGTCAGGTGGGCATAGTGTGGGAAGTCAGGAGCAGGCTTCTGTGTGGCTCTACTCTGGGTCTCTAGAGGTGGAGGTGCCCAGAAATGGGAAGAGGACTTGGGGAAATCCCTGGCACCCAGCTTGTGGGCTGGACAGATTCCCCCCACCTCACCCCAGTGCTAAGATCTGCCGTCCACTCCCTCGTCCGCCTCTCTCTCTTTCTCTCTTCCTCTTCCCCCATCTCTCATCCTGACGCACTGATTGCTTAAAGACTCGGTTACATCTCTTACGGATGTCAGGCCCTGCCTATCGGGCTGCGCTAATTAATTAATTTTATTTCGTTTCACATCCTTTGACTGAGAGCCTCTGAAACAGGGGGTACGCAGATGTATGCAAATCACATGCAAATTGTCCACTACAGTGCCAACTGTCTGGACCCTTTTAATTCCGTAGCTGGATGGGTGGTGGTTCAGCTGACTGCTACCCCCCCGGGGGGGGACAAGGGAGCCCACGTGCCTTGCCAGGGAGGGTGAGGGCAGGGCAGAGGACAGTGGGCTGCCAGGATTCTCTGCCGGCTGCCCCCCTGGCCTCCCCTCACTCACTGCCTCCTTCCTCAAGAAGACGGCCAAAAAGAGAGAAATAAGCACCTACCCAGATGGGGCTGCCAGAGCCAGGCAGGCCAGGGTTTCTGAGGGGCCTGGGAGAAGCTGCAAGACCCTCCTCCCTCCTCCCCGTGGCCCCCACCCACCAGGGAGCTGCCTCCTGCCCTGGCTTCCTCTCCCTGTCCTCCCTGAATGGGCTCACAGAACACAGCTTGGAAGGAAATGAATAGATCACACAGGCCCAGCCAGACTGGTCTCAGTCTCTTGATGGAGAAAAAAGCAAGGCTTTGTAATAGGGCCGCTACTACCCGTTCAACCCTAGCCACGGTGGAGCCCCACGGCCTGTGTGGGGTCCTGAAAACATCACCGCGACAAGGAGTTCATCCTGGGGTCCCAGGAGACAGCCACTACCTGGGAAGCAGATGACACAGTCCAAAACCAAGGAAATCACCCTCTTCGTGTGGACCAGCCGTTCGGGAAGATCTCCAGGAGGTGGGTGGGGTGCCTGAGTTCTGAGCGCCTCACTCCCAGATCGGGCCAATTGGGGAGGAATCCTGCTGGTGCGTACAAGATGGGATCCCAAATTACCAAACAGACTCAAGAAAACGCGTATGGGTGGAACCCTGCTCCATGAGTGTGGTGACCACTAGCTGCCTGGGGCTGTTTCCATTCCATTAAACCACACTGAGCTGAAATTCACTTCTTCCATCCAGTCCACCACGTTTTGATGCTGGTGGTCCCCGTGTTGGACAGAACCAATACAGAGCATGCCCGTTGTCATGAAAGCTCCATGGACAGCACCCCGCCCCCCCCCCTGCCAGGAGCTGTGCAGTTCTGGAACACGCTATGTGAGTCTGGCAAGGGAAGAACTGGGATGGCTCATTGAGCAGATGGTTCAGTGGGCAGCTTTCCTGGCATGATAGTAAGACAGGCTCCTTGTTTTGTGATCTGCTGTGTTGGATTGGGCGTGTGGTGTCAGTTGGGGGGGGGGAGGTTTGATCACTTTGGAGAACTTCTCTGAGTTGTCAGTCCCTAAGAGGCGGGGCTTTGCAGCTGTCCATCAAAGCCCTGTTCACCTAGAGGACTCTTCCCAGGCCCTCCCTCCCTCTTCCTGTGCTTTTTCAGTGGTGACATAGCATCATCTGCCAGGTTGGAGTTGGCAGGTTCCATCTCAGTGACTCAAGCACCTGACTCTCCTTTTCTCTATGGCTAATAGAGTTGAGGTGCAATTCCACACTGGGCCAGTCGGAGGCTCTCACCTAATAACCAATTTACCCTAGCATTAAAGGGCAGACTCTACTCAGGCCTTCCTGTCCATTTACACCTATAGTTGGGGGGTGTATTTGGCATTGCTTCTGATATCAGTCTGAGTTGCTGTCCTTGTTGAGCTTTCACTAGATGCCAGCACAGGACCCACTGTTTTGTGTTTTGTTTTCATGATAGCACTGGGAGTCAGGAACCATTGTAATCCTACTCTCTGTGGGTCTCTAACTTCTGTGCTGACCCCATCATGTTGAGACAATGGATCATGAGGTGTCAAGGACAAGGGTGGGGTCCTTTCCCTGCTATGTTCCCCACACCGGGGCAGAGTAACCTCAGTAAACATGTGTGCCACCGCAGAGCTGAGATACAGCATGCACACACACACTGTGACAGCCTTGCCACGTGGCCCCCTCGGGCTTCAGGTGGACACGTGCATACTGTTGACTAATGCTTTCTGGTCTGTGTACACTCAGGAGGCTCCATGGAGTGTGGGGAGAAAAAGGATAGATAGTTATTAGAAAAAAAACACCATCTCAACCCATTTAGTTGGAGGTCACCTGCCCAGCGGGCAGAGCCAAAGGTCAGTTTACATCATTGAACTCCATTAAGCAGCCCCACAGGATCACGGGGATCCAACCTTCCATGGCGGTTTTTATCATCCCACCTTTGTTTTGCCTCCTGCCTTCACTGTTTGTTCGCACGAGTTGCTCTGGGCCCAGGTTACGAGGCCACAGAAGAGTCACAGAGCGAGACAGAGACGGTGAGCTGCAGTGAGCGATAACGCCCCCGCATCAGCATCCCTTATCTCACCCGGTTCACCTTGTGAGGAGATGGCACAACCGGCTAAGCCACGCATCCCCTTTGAGGCTCTGTGGGTGGCCTGGGCAGGGAAGGCTCGTGGTTCCTTCAGACCACAGAGAAGGGATGGAGCCTGGGGGCTGGGAAAGACGGGGTAGGAAGACAGAAGCCTGAGGCGTGTCCAAAACCTGCCCGTGCATCCCACCTGTTTGACCTTGGGCAGTGACCCAACCTTTCAGCACTTTAGAAACCTCGTCTGAAATTGATTGTGAAAACACGTGACTCATAGGCTTAGAGGAGACAATGCCTGCAACGAGACCAGAGCAGCGTTGGCTCCCCACTGCACCTGCTCAAGGAAGGCCTCCTTCTCCTGCCTCGGGGGCCTGTGGGATGCAGGGTAGGGGGAGTCACGGGGCAAGAACACAGGTGCTGGCCTGGAGGCCCCGAGTCCCGTCTGACCACCTCCACTGCCAAGGGCTCTGGGCAGAGACAGTGCTTCAAGCCACTGTGTTCCAAAGTGGCTGTGCTGATCAACTCGCTGGATTTCAATTTATAGACACATCGTCTTGGCATTAAGCCATTTCAGTGCCTTTCCAGCAGCAGGGAACTATTTCACAATGGCTTTGCTGGCAGTGGGTTTCTCTTAGCCTCAGCTCTTGACAATGTTCTGTTATCTGAAGAGAAATAAGAAACAGTGGTCATGAGGGGATGCTGCAGTCCCCTGGTATATCAAGAGAGCAAGCAGGTGGGCATGCCCATGGACAATCAGCAGAACAACATTCAAGTTCCAGAAGACTTGGAAGAACCAGCCCATTGCCCCTTCTGGCTGGGAGCCAGCCTGGCCCCATGCCAGTGACTCCTTCTCCTTCCTGGACCCATAGCCTGTTCTAGGTCTCCCCAACTCTCGAAGACCCGGACGAAGAAGACAAGAAGACAAGTCCCTCCCTCTGCTCCATTCAGCTGGAGCAGCAGGTCCTCCCTGTGTCCAGCCTTAGTGTGGAACAAGAAGGCAGCCAAGGGACTGCAGGCTGTAGAGTAAATTATATTACTGCAGATCAGGTTCTGGGACTAGCATCACCTTGTAGTGAGCAAAGCCACCACCATGGACCTTGCATGTTCTGTCAGAGCGCC